TCCATTACTGCCTTTTCTCTGTCCAGCGCCGCCCTCTCCCTCTCCAGCACGGCTCGGTCTCGATCCAAAACTGCGATCTCCCTGTCCAGCACTGCTCTCTCCCTCTGCAGCACCAGACGCTCCCGTTCCATCACTTCTTTCTCCCTTTCTGTCACCTGTTGCTCACTGCACGTTGTCCTCCTCTCGTCCTCCACCTCTTGTAAGATGCAGTCTATATCCTGAGGTCCCTCCTGTTCCGCCACCACCTCCCCATCCTCAATCCCATTAAGTGGAAATTCAATCTCAGTTGGAGCAGCCACAATAGAAGACTTCACCATTGCGGCTAACTTCTTCTTTTTGGGTTTGATCAAGAACTCCCCATTGTCTTTGTTGTGGGGGAAGGCCTTGAGAATGGGGGCGCTGCCCTCCAGCCGACCCACCATTGCATTGTCCATCAAGGAGAAATAAGGCCATACATCAGGAAACACTTCCACCCCTTCTGGAGGATGCTTTAGCTCCTAAGGAGACAGAAAGAGGGCAGGAAGTAAAGGGAAAGCTTTGTCAAAAAGCTTTATTTGTCCAAATGAAAATAAAAAGAATACCTTGTATCTCTTCTTCAGGTTTTCCCATTTTTTAGACGCTTGATGATGGGTCATCTTACGGTGTAAGCCCATATGTTTCAAAATGGTCCTAAAAACATAATACGCCAGGTCTTGTGATTAAAACAATTGTTAACAACATCAAAAGCAACGATGAACCATTATCACTGGTAGTAGTAAGATGGGGCAAAGACAAAGGTACAATCTTTTTTTTTTTAAGTATGTCTGGTTCCGAAATCTATATAGTTGGCATTTTTCAGTGTCTGGGAACTTGAAATTATTGGCATACCTCCATGCCCACATAGAAGTATTTCTCTTTCCAGAGAAGAGGTAGGTATTTGAAACCCTCAGCTTTACAAAGTCTTCGATTTCTTTTTTGCTCACTGAAAACGACAGAGAGAAAAATTATATAAGTTACAAATGACTATATGAGAGTGTGTGAAAATGTATAGCACTGTATCACTATTTATTACTTAAATACACCTATTATTTAATAATATTATTAAACAGACTGGTTGAATTTTTTTTTTTTTAAAAATGCTGCATGCATTGTACATAGGAAAAGGTAAGCCTCTACTTGGACTTACGTCATTTTAAACGTTCGCTGGAAAAAGAAAACATGACTGCTCCCGGGATTGCGTTATTGGTTTTCTACAAGCAAAACCTTGTCGACAGACATGTAATTTTAACAGAAACAGAAAGAGGAAAAATAATCGAAAAGGACGCACAAATCAAATCAATAATATTTCAACCTTCCTACTAAATGATGAAGAGAAACAGAAATAAAAAGTGCCGAAGTCGTATTTAAAGATCATCTTTACTCTGGTTCTTCTACTAGTCGGAAGTTCTTGAATTCACACCCTTTTCAGTGTCCGATGAAGGCAGCATAACTTGTACTTCTCACTTCCTACGTGCGCAAGCTAGCTCCAAGCTATAGTTAGCTTATTTAATCACTTTCTGTCGTTTGTCCTTACTTTTATATGTGAAATCCACGGGCGTATGCATATCGCAAGTGCTGCTGGTGTACTCGTGGTCTGCGTAATCCATTTTTCCTATTTCTCGTACTTGGTGTCAGCCCGTTTATCGAGCGTTCTTTGTAGGAAAAGACTCCTTGCCCCCGTTGTTGGTTCCTTGCGAGGGACCCTACATTCTTCCTCTCGTGTTTGAAAAGAGCATACTACCGCCACCTGTAGACAGGGAGACTCCAGGAACAGAGTCAGCTCACTTTTATTTTTATTTTATTTCATTTTATTTTATTTTAGTTTAGTTTAGTGTTAACAAAATGTATCTCATAGTACACCATAGGATCTATGATGTTATGTTGCAGATTTTAATACAGAGATAAACATTTTGCACAAGCAAAGATGCTGTTCCATTGTACAATAGATCAGGAGAATTGCATATTATTTCAATTCCGCACCTATCTTTATACCTTTGTAACGGTGTTTGTTTATTGTTTGTTTGTTTCTCATCAGTTATCTGCTTCCCAAAGTGTAGAAAAATCCCAACACATGTTTACTACTGCCCATTAAACCGAATTCTCAAAAGCTGCTTAACACGTTTACTCTATTTTTTGGCAACTCTGTTGCATTGGGTAGGCCTTATTAAGATCACATTATTATTATAGCCTAGTATATATAGTGCCAGCCTCTTGGCAAACAGATGTGGGAGAGGCTCTTCCAAAGGAAAACGAAAGTGTTTTGCAGAAAGCAGAATGGCCTCATCCTGTCGTGAGTATCTTTCGCGCTATGTTCCTTGTAACATTTCTATATTTTACTGTTCATATAGTTTATAAAGTCTGGTGGTATTTTGTTTACGGTTTGTTTTTTATTTCCCTTTAAATCACATGCGAATTACTTTTAACAGCTCTCATTCTATCAGAGTTTCTATAAAGATTTTCTGTGAGGTCAAACATGCCTAAAATGTGCAAATGTGCAGCATATTTAATATTTTAACAAGACCAATAGTCTAGATTTGAACTCTTATTCTGAGACACTGATTGTCATTGTATAGAATTAGACTTTACTTTCTGTTTCATTTACTGTGAAGCTCGATTGCATAGAATGCCTACATAAAACCTGAAAGCTGGACTT